GCACTCCGAGATGGTAAGTAACGCCATCTGGTGGAATCAACAGAGCATCTCTAGAAACCCAAAGCCACTCTTTTGCCAAAAAGAACTGAAACCTCTGGTGTGGTGGGTACTCCAATACGGAATATTAATTCTGGAAAAGAAAGGTCCCAGCTGATTTGCTCACATATGAAATTCACAAATTAACATGCACTTTATTAATGACACTCAAATTAATTGATGTGGTATCCCTAACCAAATTGAAATTTGTACTTACATCCTACAAACTCTACAAGCTTACTGCAACTTCTCTCTAAGGACCTTCCAGTTCTGTGATTCTACATCATCTATGACTGTGGCACATTTGGTTCTCATCTTGGCTGTACTGATGAAATCTCAGTAAAGGTATATGAGAGGTGATTTTAAGTTATTAACTTATTCAACAAATATCTGTTGACTCTTCATAATGTTGTCAGGCACAGTTCTAGGCTCCATATAGGATAAACAAGACACACAAGATCTCTGCTGTCAGAGTTTACAGACTAGTGAGGGTGGCAGCAGACAAGAAACAAGTAAAAATGTTAAGATGAAGTTAGAGTGAACGTAATTTTAAAAGGTGACATGAAAGGGCAAGGAGGGGTGGGGATAGGGTGCTGAGGGATCTCTTGGAGGGAGTGTTTGAAATCCAAAGAGGAGCTAGTCTACTCATGGTGAAACCTGTTTTTAAAAACAACCTTTCCACATCATATATCCAGATAAGCCTTTTTCACAATTCTTTTGGGACTCCCCTCTGGTTTTTCCCTTCAGAGCCTAAGTACGAACTCCTTTAAGAAAAACAGGCTCAACTCAAAGCAGTATAATCCAGCCTTACTATCACCTCCTCCTTTGACCTGAACATCTCTGGGATGCTTCTGCAAGTTAATCCAGTCTCAAAGTGTATATGTTAACCAGACGTTTTGGTGGAGAAACGTGCACTGAGCTCTGGAGAGTTAAGAGCTCTGTGAGGTCCCTTCTTCTTGACAGATGGTATCTCTAATGAGCACACACCTCTGGCAACTGTGCTGTTCTTTCGCTATGAAGGTCCTCATCCTTCTTCCTCTAGGGCAGGATCTATAAAACAGTAGTGAAAATAAAACATTCAGCAGAGGCAGGAGGACACTGGAAGAAAATGATAGTACTGAGACAAAGGGAAGGGTAAAAGATTAAAAGAACAAAACATGAGAAATGGCTCCAAAGCTGCTTCCTTTGCAGTTCAGCTTTCTAGACTTTACGTCTCAGTAGATCTCTAGGGTACCCTCCCCATGGGTCAAGCAACCCACTTTCCATGAACCTACTTTCCTCTATCTTTCCCTGATGAGATTAAGGAGTCTGCCAATGGTAAAACAGTGATGTGACTCAAATTGCTACAGCCATACATGTTCTACACGCCACATGTATAATGATTTCTCTTTCAATTCCCTGAGGTCAAACCTGTCACTAAAGTGTATTAATTGAAAGCATTATGGATCTTGCTGGATGAATCCTCAAAGTGAACAGGATTAGAAGAGACTTCTCCCAGGCTGGCCTGGTGGCGCAAGCGGTTAAGTGTGCATGCTCTGCTGTGGCAGCCCGGGGTTCGCGGGTTCCGATCCCGGGCACGCCCCGACACACTGCTTGGCTAAGCCATGCTGTGGCGGCGTCCCATATAAGGTGGAGGAAGATGGGCACAGACCTTAGCCCAGGGCCAGTCTTCCTCGGCAAAAAGAGAGGAGGATAGGCAGATGTTAGCACAGGGCTGATCTCCTCACAAAAAAAAAAAAAAAGAAGAGATTTATCCTATTTATTACACCTATTATTATAGATCTTGATATCATGCTGCCTTTGTCTTCTGAAGCCATAACTCACCGACATGAACAGTCTTGCTGGAGCAAACCCAGGAAGAAAAAGACAAGTGTTTTCTATTGATCACAAAGCATTCAACTAAGCCTATAAGGAAAGAATCCTAATTACCCATGTAGAAAGATTCCAAATAGCTAACATTTGTGCCATAAGCAGTTAAATGAAGAAATACCAAAACCTCTTTATATACATAAAAAGAAATTGTCTCTCACCTCAAAAAGCCACCCTGGGCAGCATACTTATCTTTTAGAATGTACCAAGAATGCCTTCGTATATCTCTATATTAGCTCATTTTATAAATATGTATTTTTAAGAGAAAAAATGAAGACATTTCCACTTTTGTTTTTTTAAAAGTACAGAGTCCAAAGGAAGTCTCCAAATGAGACCACCAAATTCCACAGGTAACTATCAAAATTCCTGAGATCAGCAAATATTTGCTTTAAACTTTGAACTAAAGTAGGGGAAAAAGCACAATTTCTATAGGATATCAGGATAGTGATAGCAACAAATCTGGCTTGATGTGAATATGGCTATTTTCATATACCTTTCTGGGGATAAACAGCCAAAAATGCTTCAATTAAACCCAAGATGGTAAGAAAAGTATAACCTTGGGGCTGTCAACTCAATTTGTACTAAACATTGATTATCTACAACTAAACGTTAGTTTCTTTCCTTCCAGTGCAACAATGTACCTTTGGCAATTTTTCTTCATTAGCTAGGAAGATCCAAATGCCTAAATGAAAAATGCTGCTATGCCTTAACCCATTAATAGGCTTGCCATAACCCAAATGTTTGTCTTTTTTTTCAGGGTAAAAAGTTTGTTTTTTCTGATATCACCATCATATTCATTCAATATTATAAATGGGAGAACATCATGACTTACAATATCATGGCCATCATTAATAATAATGCACAAAACAGAGAAGCAGAGGATTTCCCTGCTCCTTAGGGGCAACACTACACTAACCCCAGCATCTGAATTTGACTGCTTCTGTGAAGACTCTGTTTACTTTACTGTCTTTTTTGCAGCAGAAGTGGGTGGCTGGGGCCAATCGTAGAATCAAATCCCGTCTCTAAAAAGGGCATTTCATTTTCTAAGAACCAAATTCTCCTTTCTATTACTAAACTGTGGTTGGTAATTACAATATTTACCCCTTTACCATTCCCCTCCAATTAGCTGAGGTGCAATTCACATGTCACATAACCCTTTAAACCACAGAAATTTGTCCAGTATCTCTAAATTTATAGTGCTTCTATAAAAATACCTGATTTAATCCTGAAAATCCTGCTCAGTAATTCCAAAATCCATGTAAAATACTATGAAACATACAATATAAAGTTGAACCAAGATATCATGTAACATTTAATAATTGCAAATATATTTATTACAATTTACAGATTAGTTAAGTTATATACACAAATATAATTTTAGCTATAAAATCCCAACAAACTGGTTACTTTTAAATCATTGGATCTGTAGAAGCCAATTTAGAAGTCTTCTCTTCTGCTAACCACCTTCCTTAAATTATAAAAAAATAAAATCTGATAGTTTTGATTTCAAGTTAAAGATGAAGAGGTGCTGTTATCACATTTCAACAATCAGAAAAGGTAATTTTACCTGTCTGTACAAAGCCTTTCACATGCTACATTGATACTTAAAGCACCATTGCAAGACTTTAAGTGTGTAAAATGTTCAATTAAAACTTCCAAGGATTTTCTAAGATTGTGGGGGTTTAACTTTGTTCTAACAACTAAGATTTGATGAAAATGACAAGAATTTTGTTTTTCTCCTCAGTCCAATGTAAAATGGTCCTTTCTGTCCTTCTCATCGTCTGATCACTTCCTTTAAAGGAGGGTAGTAGGGGCAAGCCCCGTGGTGTAGCGGTTAAGTGCGCATGCTCCGCTGCTGGCAGCCCGAGTTCGGATCCCGGGCGTGCACCAATGCACTGCTTGTCAGGCCATGCTGTGGCGGCCTCCCATATAAAGTGGAGGAAGATGGGCACGGATGTTAGCCCAGGGCCAGTCTTCCTCAGCTAAAAAAAAAAAAAAAAAGAGGGTAGTAAATAGGAGAACTTTTAATCAAGCTTTTACTCATTTGGTAGTGAGGCTGGAATCCCAGGGAACAATTTCCCAAATTCCTATAAATGTAAAGATATCCCACTATTTTCAAATATGCAGAGGTCCCAGATTTCAGAAACACAAAACACAACCTAAGTCTCTGAAATAAAAGTATACTTTAGCCTGGTTTTAAAAGAATGCCTACACATTTTCAGAAAGCTTTTTTCAAGGCGAAAGACGCCTGCCTTCTCACTGACACAGCTAGTGCTTGAAACTAGCCCGTTTCCACAGTGTTACACCACCCTCCACAGGCTCATCCCCTGTGACTACCTAACGTGGAGGTGCCCAGAACATGCTGAATATGGGCTCTGTGAAAATCTGACCAGCCTTCATGTTGAGCACTCTCAGTGTGTTTACATATGGAATATACACATTAACACTGGAGGCAGTTCTTAGAGCAAACCAGAAAGAAAGAAAACAACGACCAGGTAGATTATAAACTGAGGTAGTAGCCCTTCAAGCACCTCTCATGAAAACTTGGTTCCCACAGAGACAAGGTCAAAATCAGTCATCTTTCTACTCAGGCTGTCCATTACCTGTGACAGGAGGTGCGTGGAACAGAAACAGACCACTAGATGCTGGTTAACATTCCCTCAACCTCACAGATGCACACATGGAGAACTAACCAAATAAACCAAGCACAACCAGTCACTGCAGAAACTTCGATTCAAAAGTAAACTTTGGGCTAAAGATATTAAGACTTTCTAGTTGTTAAATCTATAGTTCTATCCCTTCCTCAAAGTACAGACTTGCCATTACTTCTCTCATTATTACAATAGTAGAACACAATAAACTTGGATACTGACTGAAGTCTGTATCTTACATTTCAAACTGGAAAATTCAGAACTGCCCATCTCCAAGTTTAGTGTCACCCTGACAGGTTTTAAAAGTGACAGTGCTGAGGCATGGTATTAATAACACTGGTTTTCTGCTGAGAGCATATACAACAAAACCAAATTGCTCTGAGATGTCTCCTATCTTCTTTCTAGGAAAATTCTAGGCTTTTAAGTTTAAAAAACAAATGCCTATGATGCAATTATTACTTTCTGGAGTCTTTTACAACAATTTCTACCTGTTGCAAGATACAAAGAACCATTCAACTAGGAACTACAATAACATATACAGAACCCTCTCCAAAAAAGTCTGCACAGAAGTTAAATATATTAGACGTCAAAATTTGGCAGAAAGATGCAGCTTTCCCAAAGTAGCAGAGTACTGCACATGCAGGTTTTGTGGCAGTCCTTGGAAATAGGTAGAAATTAAACTAGAAATAAAAACCCACCACATATTTTCAACCAAAGTCATTTAGAAGGAAAAAAAAAAGTGGCACAAGATAATATACTTTAAGTTGGTAGCATATACAAGATTATTTTCTTAGCCTTAAGGTAGAAGGGCCACATCACTGAAAAAAATATATAGAGAAAACAAAAAAGCCCACTAATTTCAGAATGTTGGGGTGGGGGAAGAGCCCAAAATTTTTAGATGGGTACACAATTTAAATTAGAATCGAAAATGGGCTCTGAACCCTATAAATATTGTTGCCCAAGAAAATAAGTTTTGAAAGTGCAAAATTACACTTCAAAAGGTCCCCTTTTCACCCAAGCAAGCAAATGGCATTCAAAAACACATCCATCTAAATCAAAAACAGGAGGATTAGAAATGACACCATCTCACCCTTCATTATCAGGGCTTGCTTTAAACCTGGATATTTCTGAGCAGGACATGTTGCCAAAAAATATTAAACTAGGTTATTGGATCCAAGGTGCATACCCTCTAAAAACAAGTCAAAGGACAGCTGCCAATTTTTGTTTTTAAAAGAAACCTCTCAAGTAAGAGGTAGTGTATGCTAGGGCTAGAGGCTGTCAAACCATCTTAACATTGCTCAAAAATATTAAGTCCTTTGAAGCATGTTTCCTGGAGTCTATTAAACATTCTTTCTCTGTGCTCAAATGTCAAGCAATATCCAATAGCATCTTCTGTTTCTTGAATTCGTTTCTGGAACCTGCATCCATCCCGCGCAAATTCTTCCCATGGGCCTTTGCGATCCTCATCACCACTTATATAATACTCAGTAACTTCTTCAAAGAAGGTTACCTATAAAAACAAAGACTAATTTTAATCAAGCTCTAGGATCTTACAATCATCATTGAGTAATTAACCCTTTATGCTACTAATTCTTTAAGAATATCACATATCTTACAGGAATATCTGGTCTCAAGTATAACAGAAGTAAAAAAAGAAAGAATAAGTTCTGACTGACTAGATGGCATCTGAATAAAATGGGCAAATGCCTTCTTAATTTCTTGCTTACACACACACACACACACACACACACACACACACACACACAGTCCTGTCCCAAATCTGTCATCCTAGCCCCCTCCCGTTGGCTTTTGGTGTTAATAAAATAAATCCACATGGTCAACTGAAATTTTCCTGATATTAATCCTTACTTTTTTTTAATCCATAGGGAAATACAGTTTTGTGATACTCTTCTTCCAAAATGACAAATGTTTCCAAACAAAGTATTACAAAAATATATCCCTGGAACATAATGCTTTCATTTCAACACAAAACCTTTAAGACCTTTAATAAGATCTCCACTTATTTCTATTCTTCCTTTTAAAAAATTTTCACTTTTCAGTGCTTTCCAACTTTTGAACCATGAACACGTAGTATTCTTTTGTGTGTGTGTGTGTGTGTGTGTGTGTGTGTGTGTGTGTGTGTGAGGGAGACTGGCCCTGAGCTAACATCTGTGCCAATCTTTCCTCTATTTTGTATGTGGGTCGCCGCCACAGCATGGCTTGACAAGTAGTGTAGGTCAGCGCCCGGGATCTGAACCCGCAAACCTGGGCCACCAAAGCAGAGTGTACCGGACTTAACCACTACACAACCGGGCTGGCCCCAGTATTATTCTTATATTATTACTTTTGTAATCAGAATATAGAAGAGAAAGTTACTTAGTAAACACTAAGGTGCAGCAAAATTACCATATCTTCAAGGCTATGTTACTATAAGCGACTCTGTAGTTAAGATAAAAACCCTCTTTGTATTCCTCCTCAATATGCTATCACTACATATACATGAAATTGTGAATATTATAATATACATGATCACATGTAATGAGTGACAGTCCCTTTTAATCCCTAATTAATTTCTAATATATAAGTTTCTTTCTAAGATATCCAACTCCAAAAGTAAATACTTGCTTTAAAGTATGTTCAGTAGTTACATCAGCTAATCCCACCGTGGCCTACTACTTTTATTCCCTTTACATCAGGCAAAGAAATCCCCTGAGAACAATTAGTAGGTAGTAACACCTTACTAGATATTGCATTCTAGTGTTCCTCATTCATCGTGTCACTAAGATAAATAATAATAACAAACATATATACAGTGTTTACCATACGCCAGGCTCTTTTCAAAGTACTTTACAATTTTTATCTCATTTAATCCTCGTATCAACCCTATTGGGTATGTACTATTACCATCTCCATTGTACAGATAAGCAAAAACAAAGGTAGAGAGGTGAACTGACTTGTTCAAATCACACAGCTCCTGCGTGGTGTAACCAGGATCCAAACCGAGTCTGGCTCCACAAGCTGCGCTGTTATGCCAGGACACAAGGCATTTTAGACTCCCATATCTGAAGACCTCATTCTAAGAATTAGGCACTACCCACTATTCCCATAGACCTAAAAGAATGGCACGTAGTTAGAGGCTGCCAAATAACTTTACCATATTTTAGACATAATCTTTTATAAATGTTGCTTCTAGTTCATAGTAGTACTCACATCTACTTGACTCATCTCATTTTTACTCAATGAGCAAGCTCAAATGAGACAAGAGACTGGCCTGAGGTCCCTGAGCAATAAGAGCTACCATTTAAAGGCAAAACAACGAATTATTAAGTTTTATTTATTCATCTCATTTAAATCATGCAACTAACTCATACAACAGATATTATTACTATTCCCATCAGATAAGGGAGTGAATCAAGGCCATGAGAGGTCAAGTACTTCCCACGCCTGGCTGTCTTCCCAAGTCTCTTGGCCCTAACCAGTCAGGAGTAGGGAACACAGGTCTCCAGATGCCAAGTGCTCATTCCATCGCCCCACTTGGTTCCTTACCTAGTCACTAAACAGGTCATTTTGTCAGGGGGCCCTTAAAAAGATAGAGAAAAGCTCTTTTATGATGGCACTTACAGAAGTATGAACTAAAATTTAATTTTTAACATGACTTATTCTGCTTCTACCGGTAAGACGTAAGATTACCACCACTTAGAGACATTTAATACCCCAGGAATAGTTTCAAAGTATTAAGCTGGCCCTTAGGGACCAATGGATTACAGTACCGACTACTTGAAACTCCCTGATGGTGCAGAATTTGAGATCAATAATAATTCACTCACTCCTTTCTCTTTCCAAAAAACAGTACAAGTAAGTAAAGAAAGGCCCCTCCGCAACAAAAGATACCCTATGAGTTTGGAAGGACTTCTCTCCAATTAATAACTTTAGCTGAATAAACAATAGAGGAAAAAAATAAAGCAATTCAAAAGACTCCCAAAGTAAGACTGACAATGTGTTAAGAGTAAAACACTCCATGAAGTTTTAAGACTAGCCTGGGAACAGGAAGCAACTACTCAAGATAAACCAAGTAAGCGACCATCACTGTTTACATACCATTATTAACCTGCAGTTGGCCAACGATAACTAGTACTGCATTCATAAGAAAAGGCAACACTGTTTCCTGTATTGTTTTTGACTATGAAGCACAATCATGTACATGTCCAAAAGTTTTCAATACTGAAATTAATATTTCCTTTCATGGCAAAAACCAGATAAATCTGACTTGCTATTTGGTACCATCATCCTTTTGGGCTCTAATGGACAGGAACAAAGACACTTACCATGTAAATAAAATACTAAGTGTCTGCAAACGACATAACACATTTAACACCACTGTAAAACTCTATGGCTATAATAAGCCATTCCCAATCTCTAGAAAAATTAAGTCGTGTATACACAAGGTTTAATTTTTCTGTTCCTTAAAAAAGTGAAAAGTTGAAGCTTCTAGGCAAATAGCTCAAAGCTGACAACCCAAATGAAAATGGCACTTTCCTGCTAACATCTACACACTGGCATCTTCGATTTAGAAAGGAACACCTTACATGAGGGAAAACAAGAGGGTCATTACTCAATCCAAGTATATGGCTTTAAAAAGCTTGGAGGCCTTCTTCAAAAATATGCATTGCTGCATATTTGCTATATATAAGTCATGTTGCTATATTCAACCATATCAAAACAGTCAGTACAAATTATTAGGCAGGTTAAAAGAAACAAACAAACCTTTTTTCTCTTGATATGCGTGTGTCTTGCTCCAGAAAGAACCCCACCCTGTAACAAGTCTGGACAGTCACATTCTCTGCTCCCTAACAGCTGCACCTTACAGGAAAGTAAGGCGTGACACTCAGAAATGGCCACAGTGGACTCAGATGGCCTCTCTGAGTCATGACAGCCTTTCCAATTTTTCCCTGATGTCTGAAAAGGAGCCTTAAAATTTAAAAGGTTGTAGGGGTCATCGGAATTACAGAAAGAGTTCCAGAGTTTGAGACTTTCTGCTTCATCTGCACTAGATTCCCAGTCATCTTCCTCCCCAGAATTATCGCCAGGAGACTCAGGAAGGCTTCCAGTCTGGGGAGAAGTCTCTACAGAGGACTTGTCAGACAAATCCTTCTCTGAGTCAGGAGGGTCTCCAGGAACAATTCTGGCAGCAGTCTGAATTGCTGCTGTGAAGTTCTGGGGATTATAAGGATCTACACTGTAGAAGGAGTTCCAAAGGTGAAGCCCTTCGGAGTCTAGTTCAAGGTCTGATTCTGAGAGCGAGCTATCACTATCGAAACCATCATCCTCAGCCTCCTCCTCCCAATCCTCACCTTCGGAATCAGAACCTGTTTCCACCTCACTGGATCCACCTCCCAAAATGTAATCTATCAATCTGTTACTACACGCTGGTCTGGCGGAAGCGGGAAGGTCATCTTCTATGTCTGAGGAGTCAACCACACTTCTTTGGTCCTCTGAAGGCTCTTGTTCCATAGGTTCCTCACCAGATGGACAGCTTTCCGAAGGGCACTGTCTTTCCAAGGCAAGTGGAACCCCTTTAGTCAACAATTCTACTTCTTCCTCAGTGGGCTCCGGGGCGGCTCCGGGAACGGCTCCAGCAGGGTGGACACAGCGCGTGGGCCCATCTTCGCAGGGTTTCAGGTCCATCCGGAGCAGGCCGTGTTCCTCCTCCAGGCTGTGGTAGCCATGATCTTGTTCGGGGGTGGGTAACTCTTGCCCCCTGTTAGCCTGCTGAAGGAATTCCAGCCGTTTCATACGAAGATGGTGGATTTCCGGCAGGCCTTCTCTAGAAAGTGGGGGACACCGCTGCCACGAGGCCTGAGTGACGTCTGCATTCAGGGGCCGGGGACGAGAAAGGTTCTCAGACAGGTAGCCGCTCTCAGGGGTCGCTGTCTGGAAACCCACCGGCTCGCCACCTCCGACGATGTTCTGACAGCCGAGCTCTGCCCGGGGAAGGCCGTCCAGATAGGAGAGCTTCAGCAAACAGGAGACGACGTCCAAATTGCTTAAGCGCTGGAGGTTCGGAGGCCCGGAGGGCGGAGGGCCAAGATCGCGGTCAGCGAGCAGACGGGCCGGAAGGCTGCCTGGCAGCAGCTCCACTCCCCACAGCGGCGGCTGCAGGAGAAAGGCGTGCGCGGCGGGGTCCAACGCTCTTCCCTGCGCTTGAAGTTCCAGTTCCAGGGCCGCGGCCGCGCTCGGCCAGGGCAGCCCCTCCTCCAGCCAGCCGAGGGGGCCGGCGGCCGCGCCGTCGGGGGTGCCGAGCCGCAGCGGGCTCAGGGACTTCTGCGTCGGGGGGGCGGCCGGTTCCTCCCGCGCCCGCAGGGCTCTCAGGGCGCGGAGGCCCCCGGCCAAGTCCAGCCACCGGGCCGGAAGCATCCCGCCGAGGAGCCGGCTCCACTCCAGCAGCTTGTGCAGCAGGCCGGGCAGCGGCGCGAGAAGCTGGGCGAGCCCCTTCCTCCAGGAGCCGGCCCGAGCCTCG